CTGGCAGATCACGTTGAAAAGTTGGATGAAGTTCTCCGAAGGCTTCGAGAAGCCGGAATCAAGATCAATCTACCAAGTCCTTCTTCGCAAGAGGAGAAACTTGAGTACTAGGTTACTGGATACTCGAGAAGGATCAACATAACCAAGAAAATAGACGCGCATCAAGAATATCGCTCCTCCTACCAACAGGAGGAACTCCGTAGATTCAATTGACTAGGAACTACTATCAGACATGTGGATTAGACGATCACATGTTACTGGCCCCACTCGCTTCGTTGATTCCAAAACAACGAAGTGGAAATGGGAAGCGAACACACAAGGCCTTTAGCCAGATGAAGAAGATATCAGCAAAGAAACTTGCTCGCCTACCCTGACTTCAACGATACATTCGTTATCCACACGGATGCGAGTGATACCAACTAGGTGCGGTAATTTCCCCGAAGGGAAAACCTATCGCGTTCTACAGCAGGAAGCTCAACCCTGCTCAGACACGTTACACAGTTACCGGAGAAGAACTTCTCAGTATCGTAGAAAATCTGAAAGAATTCCGTAACAATCTTCTAGGACAGAAGATCGTTGTACATACGGACCACAAGAATCTTACATGTAAAGAACTTCAATACCGTCGCGTAATGCGATGGCGCCTTTATTCTGGAAGAATACGGCCCTGAACTACGGTACATCAAGGGCGAACAGAACATCGTCGCCGATGCTTGTCGAGACTTAACATCTCTAACAACGACGGTTCTTCGAACCGATGGACACAGCGAGATCGCTGAGCTCATGGCTGCAAACGAAAGAGGACTTCCCTAGTGATTCCCTCTCTCGTTCCCCAGATCGAACATCGTCAGAAAAACGACAACGATATCAAGAAGCTCCTCAGAGACAAGCCAAACGACTACAAGAAGCAATCTTCCCCAGAGGGGATAAATCCTACGACTTAGTAGTAAGGACGAGAAAATCGTCTACCTAAAACTATGCAGAAGAAGCTAGTTGAATGGTACCATGGTGTGCTGATGCATCCTGGCGAGACTCGCACGGAACTAACCATCAGCCAACACTACACCTGGAAAGGGCTGCGCAGGACTGTGCAGGCCGTATGTCAGCGTTGCCAAAGCTGCCAGATGAACAAACCCAGACGCGTAAGCTGGGATTGATGCCTCCAAAGACTTGCGAGGAGATCCCTTGGGAAAGACTATGTATTGACCTGATAGGCCCTTACAACGTCGGGGATCCAAGAAAAAGAATTCCTGCACACTTCATTGCTTGACAATGATTGATCCCGTAACCGGATGTTCGAGATTGTAAATCTGCTCCAAGGCAGCAGACGAAGTAGCCATCGTCCTAGAACAAACGTGGCTACTCGGTATCCATGGCCTGCTGAGGTTATCATGGATAGAGGACGTGAGTTCCGCGCAGAGGTCGAAAAGACACTCCGGGATGAATATGGACTTCGTGCGCAAGTTCATCACCACGCGTAACCCTCAAGCCAACTCTTAGGTCGAGCGGCTCATCAAACCATACGTAACTTGATCGCTGTTCAAAACATCAAGTGCCAAGACGACCTCGTGAATGATCCTGGGATGAGTCCTCACGGCGGTTCGCTTTGCAATGAATGCCACGATTCATACCACCTTGGCGCAACGCCCGCACAGCTCTGTTCAATCGTGACGCGATTCAACAACGTCCGGTTCAGAAGCCAACTGGAAGTACAATAAGGAACGTCGCCAACGACTAATCCAACAAACAACGATAGGGAAAACGCAACGCGTGTCCTCATCAATACAATGTCAACGATTACTGTGATGATTCAACAGTATCAGCACCGCAAGTACGGTCAGCCAAAGTACAAAGGTCCTTACACTATAGACCGAGTCAATGAACATGGCACTGTACGGCTCCAACATGCTACCGCCAACGGCGGCACGTCTACCAGACTTGGAACATAAGGTATATACACCATACAAGGCCTGATCCCCTTGTAGGATTGCCATCGTGCGACGCACATGTCTACATCCAAATCTCATGAGAGTGCCCGCACTTTAAATCATTGTTCTCCTTGTCCGACTGCTGTCGCGCCTTCTGTGACCCTTGTCAGGGGGCGAATGCATACACGGCTCTTAGCCTTATTCGCGACTCGATCCTAGATAGGGTTTGAGTTCGACTCATGACTGAGTCTCTCGTGAATAGTCATTGAGACAGGGTTCTCAATGACCGCGCTAGTCATACTAGGTTGATGATGAAACATCGCTCTAGATATTTTACCAGCGTGGAGTACTTCCACGCTACTAGATCCAGGCTAGACAAACCTTCCACGCGTTCGGTTTTAGGATCGTGGAGAGACGTAGGATTACTACTACAACCTACTCTATCACACTTTATAGTCTCCCGCGGGAAGCCAGATCTACATCTTTGATGATGATCTCTCTCGTTGATTTGATTAGTTTTCATAGCTTTCTAATCTCTCTCATAACTTTCATTCTCTCAAACTCAAAACACTCGAAAGATCTTTACACTAGCTTTTAGCGTAGTGCACGAGCTCGGAATTCTCTCCTGTTTGCCATAGCAATTCAATGAGGGAGAGAAGTCAGCGCTGTGCCTTCAAAAAAGGCTTGATGGACGATTGGATGGAATCGAATGGAATCGAATCCTCTGTAATTCAGTTTAGCCTTAACCTTAGTAACTTCAATGGTTCTTTTTATCCACGAATCGCACACACACCTGTAAAGACGTTAAAAAACGTTAAGTACAGGTTTGGTACTTACGGATACACATGACCGTTGATTCTGCAACTGAAGTGCCGGTACTCTAATTTACACAGTAAACGCCGGCAAATCGATTTGGGAGTGCAACTGAGGGGGAAACCAAAAGGAGCGTGGTCTGGGAGACCAAATTAAAGGGGTTGAGGGCTCTGGCAGCAAGACTGCGAGGTATAAAAATAGAATTCTATTCGAAGGTTTAAAATTTGGGACAGCTGCTGTCGAGTGTCCAAGACAGTCATACTCCAATAAGACAGTTGCTGGCATAGCAAGGCGAATTGCGAAGCTTGGGCGTCTCTTGGGAACTGTTTTCACACTGAAAACAGAAAGTTGCTGGCATTGTTTCGCAAAGGCTTTAGTTAGTCAATTCAAAGACCTTAATTCTCACAGATGTTGCCATGCCACTGAAAATTTTAGTTGAAGCAGAGAAATTTAGTTGAAGAAAACGAATGCGTGTTATCCATTGTGTTTCTCTGACGCACGCATTCTTAAAAAAGTGCTCAGAATGTTTAGAGCTGCCGAGTAGCTGATCTGGCCAATTCCTACAAGTGGTATTGAAATGATTGGTTGGACTTCACTTATTGTGTGTCTTTTAGGGACAGATGGTGCCAACACTAAAGATCTGTCGCCCAACAAGCGCCTTTGTGCTTGGTTCTCGTTGAGCTCTCGGTGTCACGCTGTGACAGGCTCTAAATTGGATGGCTCTGGTTGCTGTTGCAGTGGAATGCTTCGGCGAACACGCGCTACAGCCGCGTGTGGAGCATGGCAACAGCTGAAATCTTGGGGCCACAGTGCCAACTTGAGAGGCCCATCCATTATACAGTCAACATTCAGATATATATACAGGGGGGGATTCAGGAATCCAGTAAATATAACAGTGTGTCTAAATATAGAGCGTTACTGCTACTAACCACTAGTAAAGAACGAGTGGAGAGTGCCATCACGTTTGCGTTTGCCAGCCCTTGTCGCCCTGGCCATATTCAAGGCTCTGGCAAACCTATCTACATCGTTCTTTGAACCTGCTTTCGGTCCCCTCTTCGCTCCTTTCTTCTTCGTTGCGGTTGAATCGGCGCCGTTCATGTTGGCGCCGTTCATGTTGGTCTAGGTCGGATTGGAGGAATTGTTATGGTTTGCTTGCACTTGTTTTGTTGCTCAGAGAATTGTTTTTGTCTCCTCTCTGCCATTCTGCGCAAATCTCGCGAAAACACCATGAAAAACCCCACGAGCGAAGATTTGCGCGGACTGGCAGAGAATGGACAGGCAAGCGAACTCCCATCGGCACCTCATCGGCATGCATTGGCATGCATTGGCATTTACACGTATGTCTCTGTCAAATTGGACCGTTTGCGATGGATTGCGAGCGATTGTTTTGCTGCTACGAGATTTGCGAAGGGTGTACTGACGTCATTCACGGTCACTCGTGACTGGGGGGGGGAACTCGAGATATAATAAATATTATAGAGCGAATAAATATAAGATTATAAATATAAGCGAGCGTTAACTGTAAGCATACATACACGTACAGCTTAAGAAGCAAATAGCGGTGTGGCCCCATGTATCTACCGGTATCTTCATAGGTACAACGATACCATCTTAATGCTAAGAAGCAACAGGTGAAATCTTGTGGCTATCTTGATCGCTCATGAGCTGATGATGCATGGATTAGGAGGTTGACAACCAGCTGCAGTTGTATTGCTAGAATTCGGATCGTTTCCATGTTGGAGAAGAGCATCATCCAGTCTGTCACCCAGTTCTGAGACCAAAAAGTCCCCCGCTTCGTCCAAAAAGAACCTTCCAAAGCCATGACAGGGCTATGACATGCAGCCATGAACTGTACGTGGCTGTTGCTGTTTGGTCGTGTAATCTATGGATACGGTGGCCTGAGCACGGTAGCTAATCTAGCTACCGGTGCTAGCTAGCAAGGAAAGAAAAGCTTTGGCGAAGGACTGGCAAGACCTAGATTGAGCTATTGTGTGTGTGTACATGAAGTGTTTAAAATGTGGTTCTTTACTATGTAGAATAGCTGAATCGTCGTGATTAGCCACTTCCGAGTTGGATCTACTATAGTGCAGAAGGGAATGGTTGGGTTGAGAGAAGATGCCGGATGTGGTGGTGGATTCGTTCCACTGGGCAGTTTAAAGTTGCAGGTATAGTAGGGAAAAGTGAAATGTACAAGGCTGGCTGGATGGGTCGGGGCTCTTTCATGCTAACGTAGTTGGCGAAAGCAAGGTTGTAGATCCCTTAGTAATAGTGATGCTTGTAGATCAGGTCGTTGTTTGCCGTAGCGTAGCTAACGCAGATAGGCGACGCCTTGCCCCCATCGTCCTCTTCTTCCCCTCCCATCATGATAAGGGATGCCACATCTCGCTCTTCAATGGCCGGACAAAGCTCCTTGAGGAGGTTCCGGACGCACCGCACCTGGTCAGATTCTGGGAGCAATCCTGTGGCTGCAGCCACCTGGTTGACAAACTGGACCCGTGTTTCATACGGGAGGGGCAACGCATCTTCTAGAGCCTCCATGGCACAAAGGATTGATGCATAGGCCACAATGGAGTTCTTGGAATGGAAAGTAAAGGTAGAGAGACAGACGGACAGCTCCGTCAGGAACATGGAGATATCAAAGATAGCCTTGTAGACCCGCTGAAAGTCAGCTTGAGGATACCCCATCTCGCACGTCGCGGGCCATGTCGGAATGAGCCGCATCATGGAGGCAATGAACTTGAGGGGCGTCGGTGGGTTCAGATGCCAATCCAGATTAAAGAGGATGGATAACTCCATAGCTTCAATCTTCTCTGCATTGAAGAACCCGCGGCTCAGCTCAACAAAGACATCCACATTGAGTCTTCGTCGATCCATATGAATATCGTCCGTCTCGCCATGAAGTTTCACAGCAATGTAGAGCGATGCCACCGCCACCAACTGGAACTCTCGCTTGGCAATGTGATGATCTTGTCCGTGGACTTGAAGAGTCTTGGCCACAATCCGGTCCAGGTAGTTCATGGCCACAGAGACAACCTCTCGTTCCATGCCAAAGTGATCCACCACTTCAAAGCACCACTCGCACAGCTTGCGCCTCCAAGCTTCGTTCACCCGGTCGCCGCCGCTGCTGACCGCCGAACCCGACTGGTTGGAGGAAATCACTGCCAGATAATCCATGCAAGGCGCATAGTGCGACTTCTCTTGGACCAGCAGGTTCTTCAGATGATCCACCGTGGTTGCCACCTCTTGCAGTTGATGCTCTTCTTGGGTATCCCAATAGTTCATGGACTGCTCCCCTGCTACCTGTTGCTGCTGCTGATCTCTGGTAGATAATGGGGTAACAGAGACTGCCTTGGTGTCTTCGGGTCTTGGTACCATGGTTGATTATTATTCAAAGTCTGTCACAGAACAGACACCGCAACTGGTTGGATCTATCGAGGGTGAGGCTGGTTGTGAGGCCAGTTGCTTGCAGTAACTTTTGAAGCTCCCAATTGCAGTTTTTGCTTCCCTAGCAGCTAGCCAGCTAGCGTTTGCCCCTGGGCCCCTATTTTCCGAACGCTTTTCTACGAGCTTCTGTCCAAAAAGATAGCTCGTTGGAGGCAGGTTCGCCCTTTTCTCATTGGGCTACAAAACTCGACGTTGCCTCATAGGTGCAATGATACGTCCGGGTGCCTAATCCTATAAGGACATTTCCGTCCGCCGATGACGAGCACGTCTGTAAATATACCTTATACCTTATCGTTTAGAACTCTAAGATCATTGACTCCTCAGTGATTGGTTCCCTGAAGGGACTAGCACCTGTACTAGCTAGCTAGTAGGATCTATCGGTAGCCGGTCGATGGATCTTCTCAATGCTGTCTGCTAGCTAGAGCTTGGTTCCAACTTGCTAGATGCATTGAGAGTACTAAACCTACCGGTATTATCTTGCTGGATTTTGATGACTTGACTCAGGAAACTGAGGGGCCCAAGAGATTTCAGCTAACCTTTGTACTTTGTACAGCTGCCAACAGTGGTCTACATGTTACCGTAGTTCCGGTATACCAGAAGATGCCGGACTAAGGAGCAAATTGCACCCTCTGTTACTCTCAGTGCCATTCGAGCTAGCTAGCTAGCTAGCTAGCTAGCTAGGCTGGTAACACAATGGGAGAAGGAGGCTTCTTATGTTGGTGACAGGTAAAGATACTGACAGACAGTTCGATTGTCACGCTGCTACCAATGCGAAATAGCTAATAATGACGATTTCTTGTATCCAAGTATAAGGGGTATTCCTACATTTTGGACTTCTCCCCAGGTGGAACGGCATTTGGTATAGTACACGTCACATAGAAACAGCTACCTGTCACAGTTTCCAAGAGAGCGTAAGCTTGTAAGAAGATTGTATTGAAACATCCATTTTGTTGAAGTTTAAGTGTGACGTATCATTTTCCGATATGTACAACTTTTAACTTAATTAAGGTGCTACATCGCAGACATCAAAAGCATTTATCAATTTACGGCATTGCGCTTTCTTGGCCAGCGAAAAACGATGGTGGTCTTATGGCACGTCGTCGCCTCACAAACCTGGAACTTTCTTGGCTTGGAATCATAATCTAAATTTGTAGATGGAGCTCAATGGTGATCTTGTGCCGTTGCTGCCTCCAGAAGAAGTTGGAAGCTTAGCGTTTTTGTCTGTTTGTTAGAAAGGAGGTATCAATGGGCCTCACAAAGAAGGATGGCGGGTATGCGCCTGTACTACAGTGTGTTCGCGATTATATTTATAAACGTATATTTATATTCTCCAGTATATTTATGGAATTTCGATGTTCCCCCCTGAGTCACGAGTGACCGTGACTGACGTCAGTGCATGTGTACGTACCCTTCGCAAATCTCGTAGCAGCAAAACAATGGCTCGCAATCCATTCCAAACACTCCAAATCGATCGACGTACGTGTAAATGCCAATGCATGTCGATAGAGGTGCTGATGGAGGTCTGATAGAGTGCCGCACCTCCGCTTGCCTGTCGATTCTCTGCCAATCTGCGCAAATCTTCGTACCAGTGGTTTTTCATGGTGTTTTCGCGAGATTTGCGCAGAATGGCACAGAGGAGACAAAAACAATTCTCTGAGCAACAAAACAATTTCAAGCAAGGCACTCAACAAGCTCTCAGTCAGTGCCTCCAGTTTGGGTGTGAACCCGGCTGCCACCGTTCATCTTGACAGGTTTGCAAGGGCATTGAATATGGCTAGGGGAGCAAAGGCTGCCAAACAAAAACGTGACGGCACTCTCCACGCGTACTTTACTAGTAAATAGAGCCTATATTTATATTCTCTAGTATATTTATAGGAATCCGTATTACCCCCATATAAATATAGTCAAGAACTGACTGTAGTATCTTCCTGGGGCCACATCACTATTCAACACTCTTCTCGAGTTTTGAAGCGTCACGGCAAAAGAGGGTTCAGAGAATGATGCACAGCGTTTCGAAGACCAAAACATGTATGTGCAAACAAACAGGAAGCGAAGCAGTTCGATTGAATGACGGTGGCATTCTTTACTGCAAACTCGTTGTTCGCGGTGACGCTCCAGCAGCAACAGCCTTCTCTGACCTGACAGCGTGGTCAATGCGGTTGCCCGCAACTTGCCCCATCATGGGCAAACCTGTCCAGGCTGTCGAACTTGGACATCCTCGCAGCCTGGTTTGCTCTTGGGAGTGGTCCTTCTGAAGGTTCCTGAGAATGGAGTGTGGTGATAATGGAGTAGCCTAGGTTGTGCTTGAATTTTAAGGGGTCCCGGGAATCCTTGGTGCCTTGAGCGATGCAAACCCAGTGGACAAAGGCTGCTGAGCCGCCCAGTGGGCGTTGCCCATCATTCTGTCTGCTCTAAACTTGCATAGCTGTGTACGTATTTGTTGCATGCAACGTCAAGGATCAGGTATGCTATGGATGATGCCAGACAATGGTTCAAACAGCAGACTTTCCCTCCTAACACTAGATACTTCATTCCTTGCAACGGAAACTCAGCCAAGAATGAAAGATTGTGAAATAATGAGAAAGGCATTCTATTGCTGTACCGTGCAGCGTCTGGTACCGGTTGGCTTGTCCTAAAACCCGCCGATTCCAGCTTCTGCACCGTGTTTGGTCGCATGGAACTGGCTGTTTTCTTTGCTTTGGATACCGTACGTAGTAACCTTGGCGCTGCGGGTTGGGTACCGGTAGCCTTCGCGCACCTCCACTCCGCAGTTCCAACCGGTACCGGTACCGGTGCTTCTGCTACATGAACCGGTACGGGTACACCGACATGTAGCTATTTTAGTACCGATATCTCTGTCGCCCCTGCCTTGGATTTGGAGGATTTTCATTGCCGCACTGCTACCGGTACTGTGGGTGACATGACAGCCAGCGTCGTCATGCATGCCCTACAAGACTATCATCAAAAGAACAAACTCTAGAAGTCAGGTGCTAACACAGTGTGAACTTGCTTGCCTCTGGCGACAGGCAGCATGTGCCTTGCGTCGATCCGAAACACTTTTAGGCAGCCTATTTTTGTTTCGATCAAAGCAATCCAATGTAAAAGTAACTCAGATAGTCACGACTAGGACGCCACAGTCGTAGCAAGTCGCTCTCTAGCTAGTAGTCTAGTTGCTAGCATCATCGTATTATCATACATGTACTGGAATGAATGAAACGCCGAAGACACAAGAATCAGGATCATGCACTCATTTAATTTTAAAAAAGGAACTCTGAGAGAAACCTCAGAGCTCTTAGTTTATTGATAGCCTCACCGGCTTTGCTTGGAGAATCTTTCGTTCGTGACTGAAGGGCTCCAAAGAAAGCGCATCATGATCATGCATGGATGACGGAGGACATCGACCGTTGGCAGTTTCTCACTTTCTCACTCTTGCCATCCATTGCGGATCCATTGCATCAATCAATCATCTCAATGGATGGCTGAAGTTCCTTGAAAAGCATTTCTTTCACTGCCATCTAGCTAGCTAGCCATGTCCAACCAACTCTTACTTCGCCGCGTAGCATCAGTGTCCTGTTGGAAACGATTTGGTGTGAGGCACACTACATCAAGTACTTCATCTCATCGATGCCTCAGTACTACGATTGATCCTGGCAATGATGGCAATGATGATGATCGCAGTGTTTCCATTGGCAATGTCCGCGTGGACTCGGCTCCAGCGGGCAGTGATCGACCAGATCTGATTCCTTCCTTGCATCCATATGAATCCACGTACATTGCGCCATGTCAATTGAGTCATTTGCGTTGGATGTTGCAAAAGGATTTGCGCTTGCACCAAGATTTTCTACTCATGGGACATCCCGCTCTAGCCCGTGATCGACGTCATTTGGTGTTTTTGTATGCCGCCTTGGTGGGACGAGAAGTGGAATATGTGGCCATTTCACGCGATACGTCCGATGCCGATTTGAAGCAACGCAAAGAAGTCGATGGGCGAGCTTCTATTTATGTTCATCAAGCTCCCGTTCGTGCTGCATTGGAAGGACGGCTCTTGATTTTGGATTCCATCGAAAAAGCAGAACGAAACGTTTTGCCCACACTCAATAATCTATTGGAGAATCGAGAATTGTCATTGGATGATGGAGGATTGCTTGTCGCGCCGCACATTTATGATCAGCAAGAACAATCTTCTCCCAATTCTAGTACTACTTCCACCATTCATCGCGTCCATCCCGACTTTCGAGTGGCCGCATTGGCCAGTGTCCCGGCAAATCTCGATCCACCCTTACGGTCGCGATTCCAAGCACGAGTGGCCCATCCCATGGATCCCGGAGAAATGTTGCATGTCTTGGCGGCCGTGCCCCATCGCACTTTGGACTCCAATCAACTCCAACAATTGGTCGGATTGGCATCCACCGTCCCAGATGGCATTTCTTTGCAATCGGTCGGTGATGCCGCCAATTATCTGGAACACTACACGTCAAAAGTATTGTCACCACGAGTGGCATTGTTGCCACATGGATTGGGAATGTTGAGTGTGGACGATGTGGAGGAAGAAACTCCAGTTGCCAAACAACAACCAAACAACGACAACCACAATCCATCCTTTGTTCCGACTGCCACCACCCAAACAGTGCAATCTCTGATTCAAAATGCGTTTGCCAGTGGCAATCGTGCCGTCGCATTGGTCGGCCCCAAGGGATGTTACAAATCGGCACTGGCGCGTCAGCTAGCTTCCCAAGACAACAAGAAAATGGAACTCTTTAGTTTGTATTCCGACATGACGGCCCGGGATTGCCTCTTGACACGGGGCACCGATGGAGATGGCAATACCGTATGGCGACCGACTCCCTTGACACGCGCGGTCCAACAAGGACATGCCGTCATTCTCGATGGCATTGATAAAGTGGGCGCGGATACGCTGACATCGGCATTGGCACTCTTGTTGGAACAGGGACAAGTCGATTTGCCCAATGGACAACGGCTGCAGGCGCCACCTGGATTTTGTTGTATTGCCTTGGCGCATAGCGACAATAATTGGATGACACCCGAAATCCAGGGCATGTTTCATTGGATTCGTGTGGATCCTTTGCCCAGTCCGGAACTGAAAGAAGTATTGACGGGATTATATCCCTCGTTGGACGTCGCCACATTGGACAAGATCGTCAATCTACGAGATCGACTGGATGCGGCCATTACCAGTGGAGCCGCCGATACGGCGGAGGAACAAGAGAGTCTCGTCTTGTCGTTGCGCAAAATCAAACACATTTGCAAACGAGTCGAACGACAAGAACAACAGGAAGATTTGCCGCGGTTGGTCCACAATGCCCTCTTGACCAGTCTCATGCCCGAACGAGAACGAAAGATTGTCATGAAATGCATGAAAGATTGTGGGATTGTGGCAACCAAAAAGACACAACAAAATCGACAACAACAATCTTCCAGCAGCACTCTGCTCGATGAAACATTACTCGAGTCATGCCGTCGGACTCCCAAGCATCCATTGCTGGTTCCCAATCCTGTCTTTGAAGAAAATCCAGGACACGCTCACGTGCTGAATGACATTCTAGATGCCCACGCAGTCGGAGAACGGGCACTGCTCATCATGGGGTTCCAGGGAGTCGGAAAGAATCGAGTGGTGGACTATCTTCTCAACAAGCTGCAGTGCGAGAGAGAATACCTGCAGCTGCACCGCGACACTACCGTGCAATCGCTCTTGTCGTCGCCATCGGTGGAAGATGGTCGGATCGTTTATGGTGATTCGCCACTGGTGAGAGCTGCCAAGCATGGGCGGATTCTGGTGGTCGATGAAGCCGATAAGGCTCCTGTAGAAGTGGTGGCCCTTCTCAAGGGTTTGATTGAAGATGGAGAACTTGCATTGCCGGACGGACGGGTTTTGCGATACAATGAAACAGGAGCAGCGGACAGTGCTGTGGATGATGATGATACCATATTCATTCATCCCGACTTTCGTGTCTGGGCGCTGGCCAATCCATCAGGGTATCCGTTTCATGGAAACGACTTGGCAAGGGAAATGGCTGATGTGTTTTCGTGTCACACGGTCCCTGCTCTGGATGCCGAGAGTCAAAGACGGATCTTGAAACGATACGGTCCCAATGTATCGGACAATGTTATCAATACGATCATTGATATTTGGCAGGATCTAAGGGAATCGCACGAGAAAGGAGTCATGGCATATCCCTTCTCCGTCCGGGAGGCAGTTTCGGTCATCAAGCATCTCAACCAATTTCCGAGCGACGGACTGGATGGAGCTCTGGAAAATGTTATTGCTTTTGATCGATTTGACAATGTTACGTTGAAACAGCTTGCTAGTGTGTTCAATCGACACGGAGTCCCTGTTTCGATTGAAGTATCGGGAAGAGCCTTGGAGGCTGGCACGGAAGGCGGCATCTCGACACCTAGAACGCGAACATCCAGCCCCAAGCACGGGAAAATTGACGAGAAGAATGATCCCCACGTTGGTGGCAACACGTGGGCTGGTGGTTCTGGGGGATCCGATACGGCTGGGCTCGGAGGCCGCGGTGGACCATACCGCTTAGATTCAGGGCATCCCGTTCACCAAGTGTCGGATGAGATGAAAGCCGAAGTTTCGGAAGAAGCCCAGCGAAAGGCTAGAGAAATGGCCAGAGATGCACTGGAACAAAAGTTGAAAGAGCTAAATATGGGGGAATTGGATTGGGAAAGATACAATCATCTGCATCAACAGGTTGCCGTTCAAATACAACAATTGCAAGTGCTTCTCAAGGATATCAAGCGTCGCAAACAGGAGCGAATGTGGCTCAAGCGCCAATCGACAGGTGAGCTCGATGATTCACGACTCGTTGATGCTCTCGCTGGAGAGAAAGACGTATTCAAGCGGCGTGGCCAAGCTAACGAGAACAACAACCCCAATTCGGCCCAAGATACTGAGCCGATAGCCATCAAGCTCGTTGTAGACGTCTCGGCGTCCATGTACCGATTCAATGGTTTTGATGGGCGATTGCAACGACTATTGGAGGCCACTCTGATGATCATGGAGGCGCTTAAAGATGATGAACGATTCGAGCTGAACATTGTGGGTCATAATGGCGACAGCGCAGAGATACCACTTGTCACTGGGGAAACCTCGCAAGACCCAAAAACACAACTACGTGTTCTGGAAAGTATGGTTGCACACACTCAGTACACCTTCGCGGGTGATAGTACTCTGGAGGCCATTGAGTTGGCTGTCAGTCAGGCCCACGAGGGAGATCTAGTCCTTGTGATTAGCGATGCCAATTTGAAGCGCTATCGCATAGATCCTACAGAAGTGAGTGCTCTTCTGAGACGGAAAGATGTACATGCTCACCTAGTTTTGATAGGGGGCTTCGGAGAAGAACCCATCAAGTTAGCACGGGCTATCCCCAACGAGAGGGCACAGGTTTGCTTGGACAGCGCGGAACTACCTTTGATCTTGAAGAATATTGTGGCATCAGCCGCAAAGTAAAAAGAGTTGTGCGAGGATAAGTCTCAGTTAAGTACCTGGTACGGTTTATGTTCCATGCTATACCTCTTCTGTCGCTCGTCTGCGCCAGACTCCGAGAATAGTCTGTTCCACGTCCAACCACCGCTTTGGGGCCTTGGTTTCGCTTGCAAGGAATGCGTTCAGAGGGGCCCTCGTGCTCGTGCTGGTGTCGTTTTCAGTCTGTGATCCAAACTTCTTCAGCTTCTGCCATCTCAAGTGATCCATCCTCTGTGAAGCTGTTATCAGCTGTCTCCGTGTAATCGCGAGGCGTGGATACGTACGCCATTGTTGGCTCATCACAGGTGACCCGAAAGAGGCATACTAGCATGGAATGCATTGGCACTTGATGTACTACAGCACAGAAGCCCCCCCCCCTCTGGGAATCAAAGGATCTACCTACTCTAAACCCCCCTTACAAAGACCAATGCAAGATAAAAGATTCTTAGTTATCAACTGTGGTTAAATCAGAAAGTGAGAAGGACTTCTCCAAATCATATCTCCTCTGCAAGATATGATCCAAATTATGAAGGAGTTTTTGATTTGCAGCTTCCACAGTTGGAACCATGTAGATAGAATCAAGGCGACCTTCAAATCGATACCCGGTTTCATATTTGCGCACACTTTCAGCTGGTAGGAGTTTCTTCAGTGTACTCAAGAACACGTTAAACATAACCCCAGTATTGTAAGCTTTGACTGCATGCCGAACAGGATATGCCCATACCAATTCAAACCAGACTTTTTGGAAAATAGATTTATCCACATGCTGAGTCCAGCTGTAACCCTCGCACTCAGCAATGAAAATGGATCCCTTTCTCATCAAGGCAAAGTCAACAGTCGTGGCATGAAGAAAATAGTATGAACCAGCATTGAAAGTGGTGAACATTTCAGTCCTTGTCATCTTCTTGATGGAAAACTGTGTGATATCGTAGACCAGATAATAGTCACCATCTTCCTTGTTGAAACTATAGGACATATAGTATTTCGGGAATAGCTTGATGAGTTTTGCCAGTGCTCTCCTACTCTCACTCAGAGTGTCCAAAATATCATATTCATGTCGAAAACATTGTAGGTGAAGGGCACTCTCCACAGCTGCTTCCACATCTCCTTGGAAGATAATGGCCAGGTGTACACACTTGAAATCAGAGACTGGGTCAATTTCATTGTTAGCTTCAATTGCTGCTCTGATACTCAGTGCCCATTGGCGCTCTTCATTTGTGAGCTGCATTCGAGCTGGATCATCCTTACGAAAAGGTGGCCCCTCCAGTGGTTGGAGCTGTGCTGGCTGTGGTTGTGGTTCGTTTCCACCACCTTGAACTTCTCCCTGTTGCTCAACTTCGTCATCGGCTGCCAGGCCGGCAATGGCATCATCGAGGACTCCGTTGTTGTCGAAGTTGGCCTCCATTGAGCAGTATCTACCTTTTTTTTCAGGTTGTTTTTATGACGATTGAGGAAGCACGGTGGTAGATCTACTTGCCAGCTCCTTGCTTGAGAAGCACAGCGGTTGTGGATTGTGCTTGTCCTGTTCTTTTGCTTTGCGCTTTTGCGAAGGCCACTGTGACGATGCGGCGACAACATCGAAAATCTCCGAATCCACTTGCCTTAGTGTATTGATACTCATAATTGTGTTATTCCAAATCTAATTTATTTCTGTATTCTATTTATTAATTCCGGTGGTCTTCCCGCAGATTGTCCACAGGAATTCCTTGGTTGTCTCCAGCACTGGCACTACGGAAGTACGTAACGGTACAACGAATCTACGAATAAGCGAGCGGCTAGAGTTTTAGCTTTTAAAAAGTGAAACTAGCTACATGTAGCTTAGATGTGCAATAGTTTCCGCATTCTTATTGCGATGACAATCCAGGAGATCGCGACATCGCGACATCGAGACACCAAGAACCCTTGCACTTAGCTTCCACAACTACTATTACCTGGGTGACAGGGGAATTGCTAGGGTGGCACTCAAGGCACAGCACTGAAGGACCCTATGGAGGCTTTGTAACTACGGTACCAGTATGGCTGAGACCAAGCCTATCCTCAAGAAGATTGTCTATGCCAATATGCCAATCCCATCTACCGGTACCCTTGGCTTGTCTAAGCAAAGCTGGGCTTATCTAAGCCAAGCTACGTTTATCTAAGCTAAGATACAGGGACGAAAAGTACTAAATTGTGTATAGTAAATTGTATGTGTGGACTAGCTTAGACTAGGTTAGCATTGACAAGCTTAGCGTGGCTTTGACTAGCTTGGCTCAGATAAGCCTAGATAAGCCCATTGATGTTGACATCACTGCCTTGCCATAGACGTCAGCTACAACCACAGATTGACTACTAGCTAGAGAGCCAATGTCGTCTTTTCAATCATCGTGTGCCTTGTGCTTCCACCAAAGCAATTCCCCCGTCACCCTGGTAGTACCCCCATTGATCATGCGTACCGATACACCATGACAGACACAGGCACAGCCTCTTTCTACCCCAACTTGTGCTTCCCCGTTAAGATCCGAGTGTTGGATGAACCAGAAGTCTTGGCAACCAACGATATTGGAGCTCTGAATTATGAGGTCCGCCATATGATTGACTACAACTATCTTGCTTCTATTGACCATGTGGATGCCAGAGATTATCTTGAACATTTGATAGCTCCAACACCTCCCTGTAGTTCTGTGTGGGGGACAAAGACAGAAGGAGGAGAGAGAGTGATTGGAATGCTGGACCTACGATTACACATTACCCTCTACACAGGCATCGACAAGGGCTGGGTTCAACTCAAGCTCCAAGATGTCTTAGTCGTGCAATCTTTGCCCCGTGCCCATGCATGTATCCTTGAAAGCCCTCAAACTTTACCCTGGAGCAGATGTACAGAATTCCACAAGCTTACGGGCAGACCTTTTCCCCAATCAGTTTCGAACCCATCCCTATTGGGGAGGCAAACCAAATCAACATTTCATTGGCCATATCAATCCTGAATTGACCCAGAGCATCAAAGACAATGCCACTGGAAGACCCAACAAAATTAGAAAGGGTGGAGCATGTGCTTTTTGTGGCCTCTCCTTCTGTAGCCAGGTTTGTTCCAGGTGCCAGAAAGAAAGCTACTGTTCTCAAGAGTGCCAGAAAGCCAGATGGAAGAAGCACAAGAAGAGCTGCAGCAACAGCAAGTCGGCCCAGACTTGAAGGATTCACAGCTGATGGCTTTTCTTGTTTTTAGGACAGCGTCCTGGGATCACTGCGGTGATTCTTTTGTGTCCCCCAACGTCGTCGTAGGTTCTAAAAATTATGGTCCCTGCAACCATATTTTTAGTTTCGACCCTATGATCAGCCTACGATAGCAGTTTCTCCATAGCCAGGCATTCAATGCTTCTTTTTCTTTGCAAATTGAGATGTGCTCATGGGCATGTCCTGAGTCCCAATCCCTTCAATCAATAAAGACCATCCCTCATAGTCTGGGAGTGACTGGAAATGCTCGACACATGATACTAGTGCAAGGAATTCGTTGGTAATTGGAACGGCAATCTCCCAGCCTGGCTGGTTGTCAGGTAATAACTGATCGTCTTTTGTTGGTGTCATTCGGAATTGCTTATCAAGGAACGAGTGCTTCTCCAACTCGGTCTTGAGTCGTTTGGCCTTCAACTTTCGTACAAACACGACGTTCGTTGTGGAAGGTGATTCCTTTTTTTCTGAGGTCGTCTTTGCCTCATCATGTTTCTCATGACGGATGGTGGGAACGATTGACCCCTGTGGACCCTTTTTCGTGGAGCATATCTCAAGTCGGGAGCAGCTTTCGAAGATGTGAAAAAAGTGGAGAGAGTGGAAACCATGCGTCAAAAGGGTGTTCAGCTTAGTCACAACTTAAAAACGGGCAGATTGCCAGTCCGAAAGAAACCTTACCTTGCAAAGCACGGGCCAAAAGCAAACCCCATCACCCCACCCCCAAGTAGCACAAGGTCCACATCACTACAGTTCTTCGTAATTGCAAGAGCACGATGATGGACAATCAGATTGGCGTCCAACACTTCCCGACTTTGAAAGCTCGATGGGGACAGCCCCAGCGACCAATGCACGTTCCCTTCTGATTCTTGGCTTGGACAAAGCTCCATTAGTCGGAACGATGACCCATGCTGTTGATTGTTGTTGTTGTCACTTGGGACGCCCCCAGTCACGGCAATTAGTACTCCCTTCTGAGAAGTATCAGCCGCAACAGCAGAACAATTCGCGTTCCTCAACACAGTCGCAGCACAGCCCACTCCAAAATCCAAATTGATACTAGCCGGAGCATCAACGCGGCACTGGCTGCCCCTGGGGTGCGGGTCCAATGAAATGGAGAACGCGGTGAGGCCATGCCTTGGACTCTCCCCTCTTCTCGTGTGGTTGTTGTTTCTTAACCCAGAAAAAAGGTTAGCAGGGTCCAACAAACCGCCAAAAACAAACAAGGTCACATTGTTGTTTTGGTTTGGAATTGCCAAGGCTGCATGGTGGAATGGTATGCATGTCGTGATGTTTGGTTCCAAAGAGAGTGTTTCCCAGAGAAAATGACCATGGCTATTGTTGTCGTCGTCGTCGTCGTCAGGTGGGACCAAGGACAGTACGTGAGCAGAACGTGCTATGGCTCGTTCATTGCGACCTCCCAATAATACAGCCATCTTCTTGACAGTACTATCACTGCTTGTTGCTGCTGTCCCAGCATACAATCTCGTGAACGAATGACCCCACCGAGGTGCTGGTAGTTCGCCACGTACATCTGTTGGTCTGTAGAAAACATTCGTCTTGTCGGCATCCGAGTGCTGGTAGAGCAAGAATTCATCCAAGGGATGATTTGGCCCTTTGCGTCCCCCCCAAATGGCAACAGCAACAGGATGATGCTGGTCGGACGCGATGGTGACTGCAGCGACACCTTCACGTGGTGTGAACGTAGTTTGTCGCACAGGCACGCCTGCTATTATTGTTGTGTCTGGACTTGATTCTGTGGTTGTTCCTGTGTTTTGAGGAGTAATGTCATTCCAATCATCTTGCCACTGCCCCTTTCGTTTTCTCAGCAAGAAAACCTTTCCCATTCGCTGACAAGCTCCTTCCTTATTGTTGACAGCCTTATTGAAACTCGGCCCCCTACCGTATCCCCCAAAGACTACAACATCCACATCCACATCCACTGTTTTAGTATTGTTGTTGTCGCCACTACTGGACACTGGAATGACAACAGCATCATGTCCCCAAAGATTCAAATCCGGCAACGAATGGATAGTTGTTGTTGCAATTGCAATTGGTTGCTCCACGGCAGCAGGTCGAAACAACTGTTCCCGAATTTTGTCCTGGAGCCGCTTCAATTTGAGTTGATTCTTTTCCAATCGAGCATTGGATTCTGCCACCAATGCTTGCAGATAGTCATTCGATGGTCGCAAGGGTCCTGTTCGCGCCAATGGCAGACACAAGGCCAAGCCCATGCTTCGAATGGCGACCGTCACTCGCGTCAATGTATGTTGTTTGGGAGACAGGACCAATCCCGATTCTCGAAATCCCAATTCGAGTGCCAACCCGAGCAATTGTCGTCCTCGAACCACCGTGGCAGCGGCAATGTGGAGCAGCATGGGTTCTACTTTGAACACGAGTGGTGTTGAATCATCATCAAGGCTGTCGTTGTCGTGTTCTGGTGGAAAGATTTGCAACAGCTCTGCGGCATCAATGGGATCGTGGCTCACCAACAGCCATCCACCGGATCCTTTGCCACTGTCAGGAGTGCCACTGGTATTATTGGTAGTAATAGGAATATCGGGTGTTGCAGCAGCAGATACATCCATTTCGTTATTGCCATTCTCGTTGTTGGCAGTCGCTGATGTCGCTTGCCACGGCTGAAAGAGACTGATTCTTCCAGAACATGACGACAGAGTGCTGAAGGAAGGATGATGATTGATCAAGTCTACCAGATCCTGAATACGTTCATCCACAGAACCTTTAGGAGACTTGTCCATAGGTCTTGCAGTAGTGTTGAAGGCAGTAGCATCATCTCTTTTTTGGTTTGGGTACAGTGTCTGTGTTGTCTTGGCTTTGATATCCGGAAAGGACACGAGAAAATCTGAAGGATCGTCTGAATAGTCCGGTTGGAGCTGTTGGTGGTCGTTCCCTTTGGTACCGGCATTGCTCTCCTCCTTCATCTCGACTTTGCAACTAACCTGGTCGTTTGTGGTAGATGTAATGAATGGCTGACAGTTGAATTGGTTCCGCCAAGTCTGCCCAGCAAAAATAATTGTAGTAATGGTTAAAAAATGATCTCCTACTCTAGAGTGCTGTTTACGGTACGGCAGTGTAGAGACTAGTGTAGCTAGTTTAGATTTCAATAATACGGTATGGCACTGGTAGATCGAGTTCGTACCACTGGTACCACGCAGATAAAGGTCGTGAGAGCTCTATCACAGGACCATCACAGTTGGGCAGGATCAAGCAGACAAATAGATACATAGTCTACTGACCATGTGCAGCGACTGTTGCACCGGTAAGGGATTGCTCAATCAAGGGGGAAATGGGGGACAAACAAGCTGCCGAGGTAACAACAGTTAGACTACCGTAGTTGGTCTTGTGAAAGACAGGATTATTAAAGGGAGGAGGATGTGATAGTTGAGACTCCCCGCATTTTTACCCAACCAGCTATCAAAGCTACTCTAAAGTATGCGGTTGATATGCTACCGTACAGACAGTGAGAGCGCCACCTGGAAACCAAAAGATAAAACTCGAGCCAGTATGGTAGGTAGATAGTTACTCAGCTATTTACAGTTGCTTTATCAGAGAGTGAGAAAGATTTTTCCAACTCGTATCGCCGCTGTAATACAAGATCTAAATTGTGAAGCCATCTCTGATTTGCAGCTTCTACAGTTGGAACCAAGTAGATTGTGTCCAGCCGGTGCTCACATCGAAACCCCGTTTCCAATTTGCTCCCAATCTGAGCTGGCAAAATTTTCTTTACCAGACTCAAAAACACATTGAACATGACCCCCGTATTGTAATGTTTGGCTTTTTGATACTGCAAAGGATATGTCCATGCCAGCTCCAGCCATACTTTCTGAATCATTCGGACATCCATGTGTTGGGTCCAGCTATAACCTTCGCACTCGGCAAGCAAAATAGCTCCCTTTCGTATCAATTCAAAATCAGCACTCATGGCATGAAACAAATAGTATTCACCAGCATTGAAAGCAGTGAACATTTCTGTTCGAGTCATCTTGTCCATGGAAAATTGTGTGACATCTGCCACCAGATAGTAGTTGCCATCTTCCTTGTTGAAATTGTAGGCCAAGTAGTGTTTTGGGAATAGCTTGATATGCTTTGGCAGTGCCCTCCGACTATCAGTCAGAGTGTCCAAAATATCATATTCCTGTCGGAATGTCTGCAGGCGAAGAGCCCTCTCCACAGCAGCTTCGATGCCTCCCTGAAAGAAAATGGCCAGGTGTACACACATAAAGTCGGATATTGGATCAATCTGATTGTCAGCTTCAATTGCTGCTTTGATACTCAGTGCCCATTGGCGCTCTTGATTTGTGAGCTGCATTCGAGCTGGATCATCCATTCTAAATGGGGGTCCCTGTAGGGGTATCCGCTCTGACGGCCCCATCTGTTCCGCATTATCCCGATCAACTTCATCTGGGCCGTTCTCCTCCTCAGCCAAAGCTGGTACCTCTTCGGCCTCGTTGCCTTCTTCTCCTCGCCACATTTTTCTATGGAGGGCTCTCTAGCTAGTGGGGCAATCTGAGCGTCTCTAGTAGTGGTACTGGTACCTACTAAGACAGTGACACCGTGACCACCGCGGCCAAGGTTTGGATGGTTAATGGGGCTGTTAAGAAAATAAAAAATAAATGGGGCTGTTAATGGTGATATCCTCAGGGAGCTTGAGATCTGAGACAGCTTGGGACATCTTCCTTCCGGAATTCCGCCCCCTCAAAGTTCCAGCGTCTCACTCCAAGTTTTTCGTTAAGGATGGAAGTAATCAAAAAGTGAAGTCAACTGCGACACACATGAAAGAGCATTAATCTCCAAGTTTTAGATCCGTTAATCCGGTTTCCATTAAGTACCATCTTCTTAAGTAGCTGGCTGATCCAACCATTGGATCACATGATCCTTGGTGGCAGAACGCCCAAAGAAAACAAAGCTTGGCAACAATTCTTCTTTTACACTGTAAGATGTTGACAATGAGCCATCTGTCTTACCGCCTGTTGGTTGCTACCACCATTGTATTATCATGGTCAGCCTGTGATTCACAAAATGTTGCCACCAATAGCAGCATACCCAGTAGCAGCCATGTTCGCAAGCTCAGGTCAGACCGACAATGGACGGAGGAGACAGGGATGGTGTTCAAAGAGGGTCCTTTCATTGTCAATGGTGGCGACGCCAACACGGCGGAGACACCCTGGTTTGTGTGAGTGTGTGACTATCAAGATGTACCTTGAGAGATGGGATGACGACTTTTATTGAGCTCACATTCATGATTCCACTTCTTTCCAACTATTCTGCTCTCCTATGAACAGTCACTTTGGCAATGGCGCTTGTGGAGCTTCCTTGATTTCAAAAACACGAGTCCTAACGGCAGCACATTGCGTCCGGAGTGGTGCTCCTGCCACCGTACGAGTTGGTGCTACTACTCAGTCGGATGGGACCGAAATTCGAGTCCGATGTGTCAAGAAACATCCCAATTACGACAACTTTGTCACCAATGATATTGCCATTATCAAATTGGCCAGCGAAGCACCCACCGATTCCTTTATTGCCATCAACACGGATGCGGGGAATCCGTCGTTGGGAGAACAAATGACGGCGATTGGTACGTACCAGTACGAAGCGAAGCGAAGCGAAAACGAGAAAAAGTGCTATATACACGATCCATTTCATTTTTGCAGCTGGGAAAAACTCACCTACTACTGAATCTCTTCATATGGATTATGTAGGCCTGGGACGTACATCCAGTAATGGAGGAGTCGCCAGCAGGTTGCTGGCAATTAATGTAAATTATGTCGATCCAGGCACATGTAACATTGCATACGGAGGGGGTGTCGACAGCAATTTTCACCTGTGTGCTACAACGAACGGCAACGGCGTTTGTAATGGAGGTGCGTTCGATGCATTCAAATCACAAAGCAACAGAATGTCTTGCGTAATCGTCTCAACAATGTTCTTCCATATTCTCTTGCTTGCTTCTTCTTCGACAATTTCCATACCATACAATCCACTCCTGCAAAAAACTCAGATTCCGGTGGACCACTCTACGATAGTGCATTTGCACAAGTGGGCGTTGTTTCTTTTGGATCTAGTGGGGGTTGTGGCACGGGTGTCCCAGATGGATATACCCGCGTCTCGCATTACAGTCAATGGATTCAAGAACAACTCACGGACGATTCCTGCGACGGATGCAGCATTTACCCCACGTGCGCCCAAATCTTCAATTCGGTTGTCAGTGCGGTCACCAATGCGGCGCGGTATATGTTCCGAGGTGATATAGAGTAGGTCAAGTCAAGTAGCCAGCAACCAACCCCAGCTAGTACGAAAATGGGCCAATACAACACTGTAATACACAGTCGAAGGTTGATGGTACACAATTCATAAGCAACGCGTGCATACATCGCCAACTCGTTGATCGAGAGAGCCTTCTAAAGTTAGTATACATTACAGTATTCAACGAAGAACCGAGAACAGACACTGTTGCCAACCAAAGACCAGCCAAACTAGTACCGGTACATCATCGCCACCTCTTCCCACTCTACTAACTCAGTTCAGTTCTTTGATTTGAGATTCGAACGATAGTATCGTCTCCCACAAACATCTTGAGCTGATCCTCTCCTATCCCTTGTGGCAATAGTTTCATGGATTCCCTCGTGAACGATTTGGTTTCCAGTACTGCCGTCAAGAACTTGTCTACCGACTCGGCCACCGCCGATCGAATCCATTTTTCCTTTTGACAAGCTGGACACATGGGACATCCATCGTTGCAAAAGACACAATGACGCGGCTCTCCGGTGGGATTTTGGAGTTGATACAAAACCCGACCGGTCGTGGCGTTGCTCAATTGATAGGCCAAATCGGCGGCCTGCTCAATATCCACGTCACACGTGGTGGTGCTAAAACCCCACAGCAACGTGGGCACATTCGACAAGACCATGTCGGTGGAAATTCGAAAAGGAGACAAGCCGATCCAACCGGCGGGTGAAAATACTGATGAGAGTCCTTTTTGCATAGCACGAATCGATGCTTGGCCACTGGCGGAATGTCCACCCAAGAAAAAGTGGGGCTTTTGAGAGCGGCATTCCGGAATCAAATGATGCAACCGGGCGGTAATGGCGTGGACCAAGTTGGCGTATCGTTCCCCGGACGTTTTGATTGGATCCATGGGTGCATGATCGATAATAGCAACCACAGCATTGGTTCTGGCCTTGGCAATCTCAATGGCCAACAAATCGTAGTCATTGGCTCGCATGGCGGTTCCAACTCCAATCAACAGAACTGAATCACACGTCTTGTGGTTTCCATCATTGTTTTTAAAGTAGTGATGGCGAATGATGCCTTCCTCGATGTGTGTCGTGTTGGAAAGCACAGATGCAGCAGAAGTGGAATGGAAAAAGGGCAAGATGCAAAGGAACGAATACAACTTCGTGTAGCTGGCAACCCTCATGATTGCGTTCTAATGGTTGTCTTTCTTCTTCTATGGTAGCGGTACTTGCTCGACAAAAGCCACTTCAGCAGTATGATAGTACCTAAAATCTCCAATCAATGCCTTTGAACACTCTGTTCTCCAAGCCAGGAGCAAACAAGAAAGAAAGATGAATGAGCCATCAATAATAAGTCAACAAGAGACAACAGACAGCTGCTTTTGCGGAACTTCGACAGTGCCACATGGCAATCTTCACCGAACTTCATTTGTAATACTGCTTGTATCCACGAATGAAAGATCGTATCTTTTTAGGGTTAACCCCAACAACCTCCACCAGCCATCAAACCTCGACCACGAGCCAACGAGTGTCAAGCAAGAGACCATTGTTGGGTGTTGCTTCGAGTTGTTTCTTTCAGTGGTTGTATGTATGCTTCAACGTATTAGTCTAGTGTTCCTTCAGCTGTTGGTATTCCAGCTCCTCCTGCAACTGCCAGTATCCCTTGGTTTTTCTCTGAGCAACAACAAGGACTTGTCCATGGGAAGCCAACAAGAACAGCAAGAACAAGAGCAACTCATCGTTTGCAGCTATTGCGAAGCAAAGTTTCCTTCTCGCTCGCAACTCTTCAAGCATCTGAGAGCCAAGCATGACTTGGATGCTCTATTAGAAGAGGAGAGTACCGGAAGTACACTGCAAAACTTGTCACCCTCGCAACGCACGGCCGCTTCGGTCGCCGCCAGATCTGTCTATTACAATGCAGCACAAGATGCCTACTATCGAGCCCAAGTAGCAGCGGGTGTGTTTTCCATAAGCGACTGGGAAGAAGCACAAGAATACTTTCGACGACCATTGCCAGTCGCTTTTCGAATGCTCACACAGCAACACAAAAGTAGTGACTGGCGATTTGCCTTTTGGGAGCGCTTGCAGCACTTATCACCCGCCAAGAGTCTGCAATCCTGTCCGGCATTGGATCCCCATTTGGCCAAGACGGCCGTGATTCCACCCCGTCAATGGTCACCGGAAGCACAACAGGCTCTCATGGATGCGCAAGAAGTCGGTGTGGCCAATCGACAAGAACTCTGCAGCATGATTCCTCCACTGCTGCTTTTACAAGACGGGGACGTGCTCCAGGGACGTGGCACTGTTTTGGATCTTTGTGCGGCTCCCGGATCGAAATCCTTGCAACTTATGGACATGCTCCAACGAGTTCAGATACAACCACATTCGAATGCAGCTAGTAACGACATTGACAATAACAAGAATACTTCACAGCAGGACTCCACCTGTACTGCAATGCTGGTCGCCAACGATGCCAATCGACAACGTCTCATGACGGTCGCACGCCGGAGTCGACGATTCCCCGCCACGGGTCGTCCTTCGCTCATTCTCAATTCCAGTGACGGTCGCTACTTTCCGGCACTCCGCATGTGCGGTGGGTACAAGGTCAAATTCGATCGCATCTTGGCGGATGTTCCTTGCAGCGGCGATGGAACGTTGCGCAAACTCTCCAAAAAGGAATGGCAGCAATGGAATGTCAAGAGTCATTTGCAATTGCACACATTACAAGTGCGATTGTTGACGCGGGCGCTGGAATGTGTCAAAAAGGGAGGTCGGGTTGTTTACAGTACCTGTAGTTTGGATCCCATCGAAGACGAAGCCGTTGTCGTGTCGGCCATTGCCCGACGGGGAGGGCCCCGTGTGTATCGCATTTGTCCCATTCCCGATCGATTATGTCCTACCGCCACGGAACCACTAGCGTATTCACCCGGGGCCACACACTGGGTGGTGCCGCATCCACAATTTGGCAAGACAAATGCAAAAGCAAACACAACATACGATGAAACGTATCAGTCGATTGATCAAGTACCGGCCATGCATCGGAAAAAGGACATTCGTCCTTCCATGTTTCCACCAAAAGCACGAACCGAGAAAGCCGTGGCACAAGTACTGGATCATGATCCCGAAAAACTGGCGTTGGCGCGCAAGTTTGGAGAAATATTGAGTCCAGAGGATGTGGATCTCTACGAAACCATGCTCCCGAATTGTGCTAGGATATTTCCACAGCATTTGGATTCGGGGGGATTCTTTTGTGCCGTTATTGAACGTGTCGCACCCGCCTACTATCCAGTGTGTTATCCCTTGGAGCGCAAACGGCGGGAACAACAACAACAAGAGCTGTCCAGTATGGGAGACACTGCTAGTGATAGTCATGACGCGGATACGGCAGAGTCGCAGCAGCAACAGGAAGAACTAATCTACAAATATCATGGTCGCATTCTGACCAATGTTCAATCAGCACAGCACATGAGGGAGTTGCTCGTCAAAGACAAAGCACAAGGGGATGAAGTCATATTTGAAGGAGTCGCCACTAGGGATCTGGCAGTGAAATGGCTTCAAAACCACAGGGCATTCATTCCAGGGATCAGTGAACAACTCTTGACATCACCGGCAAGAAGTGCCAACAACGAGGACAGTGACGATGATGACCAGGAGGCGGGAGAGAAAGGCACGCCCGACGTCAACAATAAACCTGCTCGCAAGCGACATGTCAACGACCCAACCAAATCTTTCATGTACACTCGATTGTTTCCTCCACCCCACCCTTCTCTTGTCCAAGAGTTTGTGGACTTTTTTGGATTGAAAACATGCCCTCAAGAGGCGTCCCAAGCAGGCGTGGAACCATTTCCGGTGGAACGCTTGGTTATCCGGCAAGGAGGCGACGATGCTGTCAATGTCACATCCTGTATGGACCCTGACGAGGCACATACACTTGTTCCTTGGGACAACAGCGAGGATTTTGCCGCAAAGAACAAGGGCTCAATAACATCCAACACCACCAAAATACCTCGAAAGCGCCGCTTCTTCCACTTGGTCCTCATTTCGGAACAGATACGAAATCTCTTCAAAGGCGGCGCCAAGTTCTCTCCAATGGAAGTGGGCTTGTCTTTGTGCTGGGTGCCCGTGCCAGGTCAATATCGGGAAGCTCCACCCGGGAAGACTGTGCATCAACCAGACACAAACGAAGAAAACAAGGAAGCCACTAGGTTTGAAGATTCTGCCGCACGAGCAGCTCAAAGTGGCCGGTACGGTCTCCTGGACGAAGCTGCCGAGTTCTTGGCTCATCGCGCCACAAAACGCATCGTCGGACTGGCACAGTCCCAGGCACTCCAGTTGCTAGAGGCTGGTCACCTTTCAGTGCAGTCAACGACAGCAGGAGAGTTGGCTACTAGTAGTAAAGCTCCCTCCGGTAGTAGATGGGGTCAGCAACGGTTGGGAGATTTGACAAACTGGAGCATGGGAGCCGCCATTGCCGTGGTGACTTGTGGATGGACAGATGGAGACGGAGAGCAGCCATGTCCTCTTTTCATGCCTTGTGTACTAAAACAGCAGGAAGCATTGGGGCGACATCTTTCTCTGGTAGCTGAGCTTCGCCTGGCGGATGCATGGAAACGGCTCCTACAGGCTTCTCCAGATGAAAAGTGATGGTTCACGCTTCCTTCTTCTGACTGTGTTCTAACTCCTTTGATCCAAGCACCGGTGCAGTCCCATCAATGTCACCAGGCTTCTGCCAAGTAAGTCGCCATTTCCGCCGCCAAGCCCCACACCAAACGATCTTTTTAAAACCTGGCAAACACCATACTACGTCGTACAGGTATGAAATATGAATGCAAGGAAGCAACCCAACTTCAGAGTTGTGAGGAAGGATTCAATGGTGGAGCCGACGAGCAGAAAGTATTTCCAACTGCATGCACGTCGTGAATGACCTTCCTTGCTGTTCACACTGATGAGCAAAGCTAAATTTCCACATTTCCTTGTTATCGGAACTACTAATGCTGGCGACTGATGCCATCTTGCTGCAAAGCAGATAATCTACAGATCTAAAAATGGCCTTGATTTAAAATGCTTAACTTTATGCATTGATTAGTTGACTATTCCCGTCATCATGTATATTGTAGGTCGATGGTTCGTGGCTGCCCCCTTGCAATGTTTGCTCTTTTGAAGAGTTCGCCCCAGGAGAGGGCTCCGTTGGGAGGGATTAGCCATGATTCAACTCAACTCGTACAGTTTGTTTGTTTGGGCGATCTCGCGTCAAACAGACAGTGGTTGCTTGACCAGAAAGGTTGCCCTTCTAAAGGAAAATTGGGCGGGCCGGGCTTGTGCCCGTTATAGTAATGAGGTGGTCGAGCGATCCAGCGAACCTATGGAACTTCAGGATCGGTGCCGGTATTGCTGATGATTGTTATGGTGGTCGCCGCTGTGTCTGCTGCTGCATCTTCTTCTGCTGGTACATATGTATAGCAAAGAGGATCTGGGGCACCACCTGGAAGACTGTTGCCAGTCGTATCGTCGCGCCATTCCGTTGTCATGATCACTCCTCCAATGGGCATGATCAAGTTTGAGGATGGAACCTTGACCGAAGCAAGACATGTAAATCGATCTCCCACATCACCATCATTGCCATCCAAGAGAAGATAGTCATTCTGCCGTCCACATTCGTAGTAGAAATCATCATACCGGTAGCTGCTGTCCTGTGAATTAGTGGTGGTGGTGGTGGTGTGCTCTGTGCTACGGCAAAATTGTCCAATTTGCAAGGCTTGTCCCACGACCAGATCATCATAAACGTCATCCAAACAGGTCACATAGTTGGCGGGGTAAATCACAGTTGTAGTGGGGTACTGTGATGTGGTGGTGCATTCCTGGAAGGAGAAATAAACAATGCATATCAGACGAAAAGGCAACCGGCAAGGAAGACCACAACACCATGCACTGGATGATGTGACAAAAAAGAACTTACATAGACGACTGTCGTAAATGAATTGATGTAGGCGGTCAAATCCTCTTCTTCACCATCTTCATGGATACATTCCAGTGTATCTTGATTCACTTTGTCACAGTGGACTGTCGAGGAATCTTCTTCGACGACTCGTTCAATGACACCATTATTGGGGCAGGTAATGTGAATTGGCAGAATATTGTTTTCCCGAAACGTGGTGAATTCACCCACCACGGGTAGGCTGCATTCGATATCGCCCAAATCATACCAAAACTCGGGATTCTTAAAGAGCAGTGTCCATCCGGCTTGGAATCGCATCGTGTAGTTCCCCGGTGGTGCTGCTGTTGCTGTTGGTTCTTCTTTTTCCGCTTCTTCTGCTACTGCACTTGGATCCAAGACGGTGCTACACTGGTGTTTGTCAAATTGATGCACATCGGCATGAATGTGCATGGTATGCAAGGGTACTTGACAGTCGCCCCCATGGCAGTTTTGGCCTACCGCACAAAGAAGATCATCTTGAAAGGGACTTTCAAAGTCAATCAGGGTGGCGACTTCATCTCCTCGACTGCATTCAAAGTAGGCATGATCAAAAGAAAAGGAGGGAACGGATTCGGTCCGACCAATGGCCACTTGTCCACTCCCATCCACAGGATGATTATCATCCTTGTCATTATTATTGTTGTTGTCGTTGTTATGACACAAGACACCGAGTTGTGCCACGTGATACAATTGATTGTCAAAGAAAAATCTCCAAGCACAAGTACCATTTCCGGTATCCAAGAATCGAAACAATGTATCAACTTCCTCTTCTTGTTCTTGACCAAGACACTCGTAGACAATTTCGGCCCAGGGTCCTTCGGAAGTGGAATAGGATCCGTCATTGCGATAGAGGGAAGTTTCACACGCTTCCGAATCTTCGTGATACTCATCATCGCACAATGTACGACAGGTCAATCCAGAGGCAAATCCATCGGGCAAGTCGGAGGAAGGCGTACAGGTCATTTTAGTCACATCACTGACCGACACCAAATGGATTTGGCTTCCCGCACAGGCGGCTTGGACGACAGGAGGAGGTCCTTCGCAGCCATCGGCAATCACTTGGAACCGACCCTTGTAGGTAGCACGGAAATTGAAGAAATCCCCAACAGCAGTGGTCTCGTTATTCGCTGCTTTCGTGCCGGTAGAATTCGGAGTCAATTGCCTTTGCCGTATGGAACCATGAGAAGGCAGCAACGAATCCATGTTTGTTTCTGTATCCAAAGCATGGACCGTGGCTACTAGAAGGCTACTAGCTGCCAAAGCGCAAAAGACACCGGGAAACCTCATCATTGTCGTCCCGTCCTTCACGAGAATAAGATTGTCCTCTATTTATTATTTTACAACCAGCTACTGTATCAAAAGATAGCTTCCACACAAGGATTGAATTCTTGTTTCATTTCCTGTGTTCTGTGGCTCGCCAAAAAGGTCCGGCTTCGTCCATGCAAAAAGGATTCTTGATGTCAAGCAAGCCCCCGAGTGGCCCCTCAAGTGGTCCCCCTTAACTCAGAACTTGTTAGCCAGCTAGCTACATCGTAGCTAGCTAGCTGGACTTAGCCTGTACCCCTTTCAATGTAATAGGCACCGTCGTAGACCCCCCCTTTCTTGACGCGTGTCTTTCTCGTGTCGGACCCAGCTGGGGCAGATCTTTCGCAATGCGACGCGCCACCATCATGGCTGCAACCTCCCCTCACAGCTAGCTAGTAGTTGACTTGCCGCAAGCATACATACACCGTTTTGGATGCCTATGTACCCGGTAGCATAGGTATAGGTATGCATGTATCCACAATACATGTAGAAGCATTCGTAAGCCTTTTAAACTTGTTGCTTAGCTGCTTCTC